GCAGACAGCTCCAGGTGCGCCCAGGAAACCGGTGGCAGAGCACAACGTAGACGACAAGTAGCGGGGAAGGGTGGAGGGCTGGTGGTGTGGGGACAAATCGTCAGGCAGGGACGGTGACTCGCAGAGCCGGGCAGTCCTGCCTTTTCGAGGGGCGCGATCCGCAGAAGAGGCTGCGGCCCGGCTAAAACCCGGGAACAGATCGCCCTGCCGCGCGGCGGGAGTCTCATTGTCCAGGCGACAATCTTTCTATGTCTCTCATCCACACCCCCAGTCGGCACACAGGGACAGAGCATTTAATTGAGCAGTTCAAAACTGCGCATCTCTTACAAGGGGAGAGAGAATGAAGGCCACGGGGCTCTGAATACCCCACGCCCTGCAGATCTCTTTCCAGACATGTAGCTTAATGACCTTCCTCTAATTCCTTCTTCCTAGGCCCTCAGGTGTTGTCTAAACAAAATGCACCTTTGTGCACATCCCGGGTTCGGCTCAGGTCATCCCGGGGGCCAGTGCCTTTCGCGGGAGCGGGAGCGGGAGCGCGGCTTGACGTGACCCTTCCCAGACACCCCCGCGCACGCGCGGGAATCCTGGAAATGTGGCTGGCACTGGGAGGCTTGGCGGTGCCGATCCTGAAAACTGCCCTCCATGTGGAAGAGGTAGGGGGACCCCAAATGATCCCAAACCACGCATCAGCCAATGAGCAGTGCCGGATATCCCATGAGGCACTGCGGGCACAGTGCCTAGGGCCTACGAAGGAGGCAAACACAAACGAGAAACGAGCTGGAACAACATGCTTGCGATCGACTCTATTGATTTGGAGCACCTAATCGCACGCCATCCAGCGGCTCTTCTAGAAACCAGAAGTCTCGAAGGGATGGTCGCTGGACTCGCTCCATCGAACACGCGGTTTAGCATTAGAAGAGCTGAAAGTGCGTCATGCCAACCGACGTCATTCCAGTTGGCGTTGACCCCTCTCTTTGCACATTTCGGAGTGAAAGCAAACACCAAAATCCGGCCCTGCCAACGAGCCCCCCGAGTTCGCTACGCCACCCCCTCCCCCCAACAAGCCTGTGCCCTCCTCCAGCCTGCCACCCGTGCCAACACCCACGTCAGGAACGGGGAAAAGGAGGGGTGACTCTTGGCCAGAGTCCTGGCACTGCGTGGCACGACGCCTCTCGGACCCACAGCGGCAGGAGGGTTAACGACGCCGATGACCACCAACGACCGCTCCGGCCGAGGCAGGGACTGCCAGGCACCCAGCGCGCCGGCGACGCAGCCACACCCCCAGGTAGGACCAGGTAGGACCAGCCGGGGCTATGGTTTCCTGCAGAAGCCCTCGGAGTCCCTGTTCTCTGGCCCTATCGCCTGCCGTGCTCCCCCCCACCCCTCTCGCTCCAGCAATCTGCAGAGCTGCAGGAGACCCACCACAGTCTGTTCCGCAC